GAGGTCTGTCCACATTTGGTCTTAACTTGTGGTAGATCTAATAATGTGGGATCTCTAAAGGATCGACAATGTCTCTGTGATCGTTTCATTAAGTAAATGTATTTACATTCGACGAAGCTGAACTGTTAGTGACAGTCACAGAGAATGTAAGTATTTTCCTGTTGGTATAAAATGCACGTGTGCCGCTATGGTATTAATTTAGTCTATTGTTGTAAGCATATATAAGGTTTGACAGTCGCAAATGTATTTGTCTCAGCTCTCGAACTCTCAAATTTTATTTTAAGATTTTTTCATTTTCTAGGTCTGGAAATCTTATATCACCTCTGGCCCCTGGAGGTTAGTGCTCCTGTATTTGGTTGGTGAATACGTTCCCATTTTTCTCACTGGGTTTATGGGTGTTCGTATCAGGCGGTGGCACAAGCTTTAAAGCTTGAGTGGTATTTACTTTCATGTGTGCCTTGTAACTACCATCTTATTTGAGCTTTGTAACCCTACTTGGACAGTATATTAAACATTCAGGCTGACAGTTCGAGCTGCACACCCATCCCTGTGTACGAGTCATGAATATAAATAGATAGGAACATAACTTTTCGGGGGTGAGGGGCGCGATAAACACTGAACAATTTGCGTGGCACCAGGAAAAAAGAAGTCGTCACAAATAGTTCTTTTAGAAAAAGGAATCGAGCACATTTCACTCAGTTCTGCAAGCAATCCCTGCAGAAAACCCATTTTGCTGTGTAGGACTAGGCTATACTTCAGATGGGTTCTCCTGGTTCAGTCCGCCGGCTAGTGCGACTTCCGCTGGAGCCTTTTGTGAGGAATAAAGTGTTTCGTAATTGCAAACCCTTGATTCCTATTCAGTTCAGCTAGCAAGAAATCAGTCTTAAAAATATGCTTCGATTTTGCTGTATAAATAGAAAAACATGTTGAATTCTCTCCGAATGTCCCTGTTAGGTTTTGGACGCAACTGTTACATGCTGTTCCAGTAAAGCTAGTCAGCATAAAGCAAAAATAATCAAAGCCATTATCAGGATATTAACTATGCTATACAGAGCGCTGAATCCTAAAAGTAATTATGACCCCGAGCTGCGTCATTTCAAGGTCACTGCTTTGAGATACTTGAATCTCGTATTGTTGGTCAGCCCTAATAGCAAGGTAGTTACATACATGTAACACGTGTGACAGTTCACGTTTGACGAGAAAAGTATGAAGGACAAAACAGTTGCCGACAGTCCTTAATCACAATAAATATAAGTAAGACGCAGGAATTTTCACTCATGAAATACACTCATGAAGTGTACGTGCATGGAGATCGTAATGGAATTTCCGGTATTGTGAGAGACGGAAAACCGTAGAATGCGGAGAAAAAACCTGACAGCAACGACGAGGACCAACAGCAAATTTGACCGATCCAAATATGACGCCTGGTCTAGGATACGAACTCCAGCCAAATTGAAGGAAGCGAGCGCTCTCCTCCACTGCACCACCCCTGCAAACCCTTCTTTCTCTTTTTTACTTGGTGGAGGGGGGAAGAAAAGACACAAAACGTTTGCATGAAGCACAGTGCAGGTCAAGGTTTCAATCTGTGTCCTGAAGGAAATGAGTCAGCAAATGCCATTAATGTTAGGCAGCTTCTTTCGCCGCTAAGGCTAAGGCACTACCTTAATACTTTTTGGATATTGAACGGCGTCCAAAGTTTGATTGATTTTCAAGTCATTTCTCAAATTCATTGACAGCACTGAATGCATGGGGTGTCTTGAATACCCATTCTTTTTATTTACAACACAAATCAAAAGTGTCGAAGAACTTCAAACCGCCAATCACGAATTCGCTCAGTTGTTTAATTTATTTTTACAGCTAAATGAAAGCTTTGTCTGTTTAGTTCCTGACTGAAGTGATGGGAGGAGACATGTCCTTATATGATGCAAAAGTGACGTACGTGCGACCATAGCACGAGCGGTTTGCTGATATTGACATCACCAAAAATATATCAGATAAAAGTTACATTTTGTTTCTAGGCCTTCAGTCTGAAGAGGGAGCGGTCCAAGACTTGTGAGACGTAGAGTATACAGTGCGACATACTTCCTTCGAGAACATGGCTAAGCTCTTGGCAATCAGTGCCCTACTTCTTTGTTTTTCTGCAGGTACGTATTATTTTCATTGATGTGCAATTAAAAAAGATCTACTCTTTAATAGAAAAACTCAGGAACAAATCCTAACTGACCGAATACTTAATTGCCATGCGGAATATATAGCATAGCGCGTTAACGTTCAAATACTGTACTGCTATATTACAAAAGACTGAAGTCGGAAACTTGAAGATAGACCTTGTGAACCTATGCTTCCTTTTAAGAAGTGTGTAAGCGGTCTGTTTGTCTGAGAATTGGCCTTCAGAAAATGCGATCTCACATTCACAAATTTGGGGCGTGAGGACCTTAAACATACAAACACAACGTGTTGTGTTAACAGTTAAGCAATGTGGTCAATTTGGTTTTGTCTGGAAAATGCTAAAATATTGAAATAATGATTTAATAGAAGCCTTTGAGTTACAACGCCTTTTTATCAAACGGCCTGAATAAGATATCGTAAAATTACCCGATTTCATTGACAATGCTTATGGCAATAATTAGCCTGATCCCGGCAGATTGTTGTTAAAAACTCCTGCTAAAACTACCGTAGTCCGTCTTGTCTTTCCCCAGTTTTAAAATTTCAAACAGCAGATATCAAATTGAAAAAAAAGAAATTCCTTCTTATAAGACGCTGACGTAGAAAAAGTTTTAGAACGTTCAACGCTCATCTGATGATTTCAGCAGTGTGCTACTGTCGCCACACGAGAAAGAAATACATACCTGACTTACTATGTTTACCGGCCTGGTTTTCCCTCAAACAAGGAACAAAGATGGCTCTCACAACTCGTGCGTTTTAATCTCGCGCAAGAGAAATGGCACAAGATCAGGCTTCCGTTATTTTAGGCATTGGTGAAAATTTAACGCTTGTGTAACTAGAAACAACGAGTTTTATTCACTTTGCTCATCAGGCAGTAAAGTAAATCCACCTGAGCAAATAAGCAACAAAATTCTAGTGAGGAAATTTGAATTCACATTACAAATA